CAGAAGATCCTCTAGAGAGGTGATTAGTGGACATTTCGAAAATTTCAACGACCCAAAATTCAATCCAAGAGGTTAGGGGCCTGTACCACTCCAAACATCTCCCGACTTGCTCTGAGCAGGCCAAAGAGGATGATTGAGACCACTGAAAGGAGAGGATTGTCGCAAGGTCCTGAAATTTATTTTGTTAGTTTTGATACGTTTACTGTTAAGAAAGCACGATACCCAAGCTATTCTATACTTTTGATACACCAGTCGGTATAATGCCAATGTCTTTCTCATCAGGTTGGATTCGTACGAGCTTCAACCAACTACGACCGGCTCTCTCTACAGTCGCTAGGACATCTTCTTAAGAAAAAAGACGTCAAAGTGAACATTGTCGTGGACATGGATAAAAACCAAACGCCCGACGACATTATCGCCTCCGGGAAATTGAAGCTACTGCGAAGCAATGCCAGAAGTACTGATAAGTTGAAACGAATTCGTATTGTGGTCTAGTCTTTACCTCTTTCTTTATTATTCGACCTCTACCTTTTCTTTCCTTATAGTTCTTTCTGAAGGCCTAATGCAAATTAACTCCTCAGAACATTCATGCTAAGTGACTCTGTCACTGCTACTTTTACTCTAAAGAGTTAACCTTTCCACGGACATCGAACATCGAGCAGATTGCAAGCGGATTTATCTTCATTTCTATCGAGTTCTGTCGTCATGTAATGCCACCTCCTCACGTTAAGCCGTCCCGAAAATGCTTTTCTTCAAACAAACTGAAGAATGACAACTGTTATCTCGAGTCGTAGAGTATTGCTCTTATTGCTACAGTTCTCGGAAATATAAGCTCGAAAGGCAGCGATTACGACAGGTTCTATGAAGGGGGTTCAGAGGAGACGTGGTGGTGCTCAGTGGTACGCCAGTGGCGAAAAAGCAGGGAAATCCGTCAAGAAAACGCAAAATGGGACCCCCTTTTTGGCCGTTGGTTTTCACTCATGAACAGGTAACAGCTCAGAAAGCGGACACATGAACGAGTTCACCGCAAGGTGTTGGTCACCGGCAGTGTTCAGACGGGCCCTGCAGAAGCCACACTCAATCGGAGTTGCTCACTAGTTGCGGCTATGTGGAGCGCACCTTTCGTTGCTGAAAAGAGGCAATACTTTGCTTCCTTGGACCAGGCAACGGTAGCTGCTTCGTTTGGTCCATCTCTTCACTGATGGCGCTCCTCTCTTAATCGTTCTTTGAGGGGAGTTATACATTAGAGCTTACAATTAGTGCTGAGGTATGGACTTTCAGATTCTTTTAAATATCCGAACTATGTTTTGCTCTTCTAATGCTGGCAATTCAACAAAAGGTTTCTTGAGGCTGCCTCAGGCTAAATCAGTGTGGTATGTTTATTTGAAACCAAGATTTGCGGTCTCGGCACCAGGGTCAACTGTCTTCTTGTATTTGCTACTGATGGGGGCCATACTTGGGACTTTTGGAGGGGAAACTTCTTCAATCCTAGTGTGTTTGTGATTACCGGGAGGAAGTGTATTTCGAGCATTTTTGCGGCAGAGGGGAGGGAGGCAAGGTTGAGTATGTAGTGGGATTGCGATCGTGTGCGGGTGCAAAGAGAGGTTTCTGGCAGTTTCCTTTCTTTTTTAAAATTTTGTTGAATTCCTCAAAAAGAAATGAGTTGAACGAAATTGGAGCAGATGATGCAGGGAAATTTCATTTTGTATTCAATTTTTCATTTCAATTCCAGAGCCGCCTGCACACAGACACATTTTCGCGAAACGTTTTTAGAGACTTGTGGCTTGGGAAGTGCTGCTATTTCAACCAGCCGTGGCATCTTTCGATTGCACCAAATCAGGGTACTGGTTTGGTTTGGTAGGTAATCAGGGAAAAATGTTCAGCGAACAAAAAAAACTGACTGCCGGCATTCGGGTCGAAACTAGACTGACCGCTTTGTGAGATTGATCGCTTTTGCTTGTTGAAGTCACCGCATTTCTGCAAGAGTGTACTCGAAAAGCTGCACGAAGATTGGCATGCTCCTAATATACGAATGGTGGCTATCTGGATTACTGAAGGCTCTTTTCAATCAAGAATGTTCACCACGTTTTGTGAGCCTCTTTGTCAAATCCAATGAATGGCAAACCATCGTCTGTCTGAGATGTTGCACAAGATCCCATGCCTTCACATCTCTCCATAGGATGCTTTCCTTCTCTACTAATGAGATCCAGTGGATGTTTCGAGATAACTTTGTATTCGTGCGCTATTTCCACTACGTCGTCATGGAATTTTTTCATGAGGAGTTCCGAAATTTTCAACGCTTTGATAGTCTTTTTTCCTCTCGCCTTTTTTTCTAAACTGTTTCTACAAATAGGTTTAGTGGTAATTCAATTAAATGGTTGCAAGAAAACTTACAAATATCTGTTACAGTAATCATTGTCGAACTTGGAATGGATATCATCTCAGCCACAAATTTCATGCTTGCTGTTCACCGTTCCGAAATGAAAAGTGATGAATATGTATACGTCATTCCATGGCTTTCTCATGTGAGTTACAGACAGAGTCTGCAATGATAATTGTAACGAGATCAATGTTAATAGAGAATAGTATACTGACGGCGGGTACTTGTTGAGCCCCTCACAAAAAAAGGTCAAACCAAGCAATGTGAAACTCTCGTGAATCCTTTTGTTTTCTCCCGAGATGCTTTTTGGAATTTGGAGCTTGGTTTCAGTTATGATATTTCTTAGGTTTGAAATTTCTTATACTTACAAACACTTATGATGAATCTTGTGGCCATCGAAAATTGATTTTCGTTTTTCTCGAAGCCCTAGCAGCAGTCTGAAGCATACTGACACATCAGCACGTACTATTCTTGTTGCTCGAGCTGTAGGTGGGGTTCGCAAGAGCGTTGACCGGGCTGTTTCGGCGCAGTCTGAGAAGGTGAAAAGCAACCCATGACTTACCCACCAAATATCTCGCAACTCTAACGGCCTACTATACCAGCTAATTCATCAGTACGCTAATTAGGAGGTCCTTCAAATACTATCGTCCCCATCTTCAAGCAGAAGGGTGACGCGATGGACTGCTCCAACTACCGCGGGATCAAGTTGACTGCGCATACCATGAAGTTGTACGAGCGAGGTCGACTCGAAACTGCGGGAGCTGGTCCCGATCTCCCAGGAACAGTTCGGGTTCATGCCCGAAAGGTCTACAACGGATGCCATCTTCATCGCAGGCAAGTGATGGAGAAGTATCGAGAAAAGCGCCGACCCTGCTACCTAGCCTTCCTCGACCTGGAGAAGGCGTTCGACCGGCTACCGCGAGCAGTACTATGGAGAGCGCTCAGGGAACGGAATGTGCCAGAACACCTCTCTCTGGTGAAGGACATGTACGATGGGGCGAAGGCAGCTATACGCACCCCACACGGCCTAACGAAGGAGGTGGACATCACGGTTGGGGTGCACCAAGGGTCAGCTCTGAGCCCGTTCCTCTTCCTCCTAACACTAGATGTCCTGGTGAAGGGGCTCATGGAAGGACCACTGAAGACCATCCTCTACGCTGACGACATCGCCCTGATAGCGGATAGCAGAGAGGAACTTCAAGCCAAGGTGCAGAAATGGCAGAAAGTCCTGGCAGAAGGTGGGCTCCGGCTGAATGTCAAGAAGACCAAGTTCCTGAGCTCCGAAGAGGGTGCAGAGCCGATCGTGGACTGGTGAGACCATCGAAAGAGTGGAGGACTTCCGATACCTTGGGAGCGATCTGGCAGCCGACGGTAGTGTGGATCAGGCAGTGAAGGCTCGGGTCAACGCTGCATGGATGAAATGGAGGGAGTCCACTGGAATCCTCTGCGATCGAAGGTGCTCCAGAGCGCTCAAAGGGAAGGTGTACCGGACAGTGGTAAGGCCTGCGATGCTCTACGGCAGCGAGTGCTGGCCCCTGAACAAGAATCACGAAAGGCAGCTTCACTCTGCTGAGACAGTCTCAGCACTCATGTAGC